TTACCAATCCTCTTAATTTTAACATAAATTTCCCCATGCTGTGAAGAAATGGATCAGCTTCTTTCAACTCAACGTAAACGCATTGTCGTCTGGGCATTTCTATCATCAGAAACTTCTATGAGAAGAGTAAAGTTATTTAGTTGTAATGTTAGTGTATATTAGGTTTCATGTTATTTAGTTGATGTGTACCTTACATGTAGCAGTAGCTTTATCGCTCCTACGAGAGGAGGTGAAACAAGCAAGACTTTCACTTTGCAGAGAATCAAGGGTCGATTTTTTTAAAAACCCGTTTGTCTCTAAGAGTAAAATGAACATTACCAATCCTCTTAATTTTAACATAAATTTTCCCATGCTGTGTGAAGAAATGGATCAGCTTCTTTCAACTCAACGTAAACGCATTGTCGTCTGGGCATTTCTATCATCAGAAACTTCTATGAGAAGAGTAAAGTTATTTAGTTGTAATGTTAGTGTATATTAGGTTTCATGTTATTTAGTTGATGTGTACCTTACATGTAGCAGTAGCTTTATCGCTCCTACGAGAGGAGGTGAAACAAGCAAGACTTTCACTTTGCAGAGAATCAAGGGTCGATTTTTTTAAAAACCCGTTTGTCTCTAAGCAGAGAGATGATGCTGTTTTTTACGGCTTATCATACACGCACCGACGGTCAAATGACTTTCTCAGTTCAAACTGCATGATGTAACAGACCAGTCTTGCATTATTAATACTGTATTATATAGGGGAGAGCGGGGCACAAAGTAACACTTTTTGACTTTCTCAGTTTGTGTAAATCCACATGGGGTTCAGAATATAATTTTTTATCCACAGTAATTTTACACTTGTCTAGTTCAAATATGTCACTTTGTTTCATAATTACAGTGAAAATGGAAGTGAAATGTGACAACATGCCCCGTAGGTGGGGTACATTGTAACATCTGAGGGGCACGTTGTAACATGACCATATGACAGCTTAAAATCTTATCTGATCGAATGAAAAAAATATACGACAAACTAAAATATTTTGTTAATAAAATAAAATAAAATACAATTTCAAATAAAATAATGGCGTTTTTTAATAATTAAAAATAATCTGATTTTGGAGTTTGACAATGAACACATTGCAGCCATGCTTGGGACGGCCCACATAAACGAGCAAAAATGCTTTACATGTCTTGAAATAATAATTTCTAAACATTAAACATTGACTGTCAGTCTTTATTCACCAAGACAAACTAAAATATTTTGTTAATAAAATAAAATAAAATAAAATTTCAAATAAAATAATGGCGTTTTTTAATAATTAAAAATAATCTGATTTTGGAGTTTGACAATGAACACATTGCAGCCATGCTTGGGACGGCCCACATAAACGAGCAAAAATGCTTTACATGTCTTGAAATAATAATTTCTAAACATTAAACATTGACTGTCAGTCTTTGTTCACCTGTTTCTCGTTGTTTCTCATTCAAATTCATTAAATAGTGTAAATTACATCACTAATGTCATAGAATAGCACATTGTAACGCAGTGTTACAACGTGCCCCATCTGCGCATTTGGAATTTAAAACTGTTTAGTGTCGTCTGCTAGTTAGCAAAGCATTAAAAAAACTATCTAAACTGCTAAATAACAGATTTGATATTCAAATAATAGCAGATTTGTTTCATTTTAAATTAACAGTAAAAACTGAGATGAAAAATTGACTTCAGACAGAAATTTACTTTTGCTATGGTAAAATAAATGTTCAGTGATGCTTTACATGTCTTGAAATAATAATTTCTAAACATTAAACATTGACTGTCAGTCTTTATTCACCTGTTTCTCGTTGTTTCTCATTCAGATTCATTAAATAGTGTAAATTACATCGCTAATGTCATAGAATAGCACATTGTAACGCAGTGTTACAACGTGCCCCATCTGCGCAACTGGAGTTTAAAACTGGTTAGTGTCTTCTGCTAGTAATCAAAGCATTAAAAAACTATCTGAACTGATAAATAACAGATTGGAGATTAAAATAATAGCTCATTTTAAATGAATAAAAACTGAGATGAAAAATTTACGCAAGCCACAATTTTAATTTTATTATGGTAAAATAAATGTTAAGCGATATCTTCAAAAGATTTTTGAATTTTGGCGCACGTTTGTTTTCTATATAATGTTGATATGGTAACTAATAAATACTGTAAATATTGTTATGCTAACACCTGGAAATATTCAAACCACGTGTGTTACAATTTACCCCGCGTTACTCTGTGCCCTGCGCTCCCTGAACTGATAAATAACAGATTGGAGATTAAAATAATAGCTAATTTTAAATGAATAAAAACTGAGATGAAAAATTTACGCAAGCCACAATTTTAATTTTATTATGGTAAAATAAATGTTAAGCGATATCTTCAAAAGATTTTTGAATTTTGGCGCACGGTTGTTTTCTATATAATGTTGATATGGTAACTAATAAATACTGTAAATGTTGTTATGCTAGCATGTGTGGAAATATTCAAACCACGTGTTACAACTAACCCCGCGTTACTATGTGCCCCGCGCTCCCCTACTCGTGAGACTTCTTAGGGTTTTTAGACGCGTGACATTGAATTATTGTTTCAGTCAATATGTAACGTTATTTTCGTGTGTCTTCTGGGCATTTAACTTCAGAAGATGCCTGCTGAGATGGCCGAAATCAACTTGCAAACACATAGTAAAAACTTCATTTTAATTTCACACGTGCTTCCAAACTGAGATGCTCCCGTTGAATCTGACTGTAACATGTACCGACGGTAATACTTTCTCAATTATACTGCACGTTGTTGAGTGCAATATAAGATTACGGTCTCTCATTGTTAATATTCAGTTTACAATGTACTCGTGAGATTTGCAAGGATTTTTGGGTTTGTGTCATTGTTCACGTGTGAAGTTAAATCGCAACGTGGTGATTTATGTGTCTTCTTTGCAATAGAAATCCGCTAATAAACTAAAAAAAACAGGACACATAGAAAACAAGTCGTGCAAATAAAGTTTCACGTCCATGGTCGTTCATTAGATTAAACTAGAGTTGTCAGATTTTATTATTTATTATTTTAGGCTGTACAAGGAGATGGCACGTGGCACATACAAGGGCATGGGCGGGCCAAATTCTCTGGGCGGGCAAAGCAGAGAAAGGGGAGGTAACCTTTCCCCGTATGACGACATAAAGGGAAGATTCCGGATTGGGCCATCTGAGCTTTCATTTTCTCAAAGGAGAAGCAGGATACCCAGGGCTCGGTTTACACCTATCGCCATTTCTAGCCACTGGGGGACCATAGGCAGGCTAGGGGAACTCATATTAATGTTAAAAAACCTCATAAAGTGACATTTTCATGCCATGGGACCTTTAAACCACGTGTGTTACAACTATCTCACGTTAGTTTGTACGAACCCTGTTATAAGCTTAACCTATAATTGTTGATCAGTTAGAAATTAAACTGTAATTGTTCAAAAATGTGTAACTGTTCAATAATTTAATGTTGTATTTAAAAAGACAAATATCAAATCATAAAAATGTGGTGTTTATATTAATTTTACAAATCTAAATTAACAGGCTATTTCAAATCATATTTTTGATGAGATGTCTAGTCTTTTTTTTTTTTTTTTAATAAATGCTTAGAAAACAAGAGATGGCCAGTCAATTGGAGTAGTCTATTTGTGTATTCTGTATTCTATGTACATGCATAAATTTAATCTGAAGGCACTGTTTGGAATCTGACACAAAGTTTTTTTTTTTTTTTTTTAATAAATGCTTAGAAAACAAGAGATGGCCAGTCAATTGGAGTAGTCTATTTGTGTATTCTATGCAAGGACACAGTTTTGCTTCATGGTTATGTAATGGCACAATGTCATTTAGCAACTTTTAGCAACAAACTGTTAGCAACTTCCCTTAAAGGGGTCATATGATGCGATTTCAAGTTTTCCTTTCTCTTTGGAGTGTTACAAGCTCAATGCACTGGGTCAGCTGGCCAATCAGAGCAGACTGCGCTTGTCGGAAGGAGGGACTTTGTAGAAAACGAAGCGTCTGAGAGAGGCGGGGCATAGAGGACCTACAATAATGTACAGTATTTGAAAAATAATGTGTTTTTTGAACATTAAAGCATGTCAACATATTCTGTTACACCAAATACACAAAATAATGATCTTTAAAAAAGCATCATATGACCCCTTTAAAAAATTAGTTGACAACAGTGACTATGTGATGGATTTGAAAGTAAGCTTCACTTTTGTTGCATGCTGACAGGATAGTATTACATTTTGTTGTTGTTTTTGTCTCCCAGCATAATTTTTCTTCATGGTTTACAGATGCTGTTTCATTTATGTGTTCGTACTGTTAACAGGTTCAGGTAAGAACAGAGCAAAGACTGTCCAAAGGTTTGAGATCACTAGTGAAAATTATTTTACATTGTAATTTATGCTTTTTTACATTTTTCATTGCAAACTATCAGCTAAACAGTCTTAGTTCAAGTTTAAATAGATACATGAAACTGAGCATCTTCAATGACTTTCTGACTCTGTACAAAGAGTCACAATCAACAGCACTCATTTTCTTAGATTTATTAACAACAAATCAGATTTTCAACGCTGTCTGAAACTTTTGGACCTCACTGTAATAGTCAATAGTTAATAATTAAAGTTACGTAACGCTAAGAAAAGTATTGTTTTCTAGCCTCCCTGCATGAAGGCACTGAAGGAGACTCTGTCATCTTGAAGTGCAGTCACAGACGTATTGAACTTGAAAAAAACAACTGACAGTCCACTGGAGACACAACGACACCAGGAATGTTTATGATATTATCCACGGAAAAGTTTCTATAAAGGAACAGGACCCAGCGTACAAGAACAGAGCAGAAGTTTTACCTGAGGAGCTTAAGAGGGGCCGTGTCTTTCTCAAACTCACCGATCTTCAGCTCTCTGATGGAGGAACGTACCTCTGTTTTGTCCCAGCTCTGGGAATTGATCACAGTACACAACTGGTGGTCAAAGGTGTGTTGTAATAACTCCTAATATTATACATTTTGAGTTTCTGTGTGCTTGTAATCATCACAGTAGTTCTAAATAGTCCAACATGTTCTACAGTGTTATATTTTTGCATGCCAGAAAATGCACATATTTTGGTCACCGCATATTAACTAATAGTTTTATGTGCATTTACTTCTAATTTTTATACTTCTATTTTTTTCCCCACAGAACGACTATAAATCAAATACACGGCAGATCAAATAAGAGGCCATGGTACAGGAACAAGGCTGGGAAGGACTCTGCACCTCCTAATTCCTTTATCTGGATTCATTCTGCATTTTATGTGAACAGGCCTTTCTGGACGTATTTATTGTAGAACAAGAAGAGCAAGAGTAGATGGTCGGTGGTACCTCCGGAGCAAAAGGGAAGCCACAAAGAATTATGGGTAAGAATCAGGAAAAGCACACAGGTCTGCGGCCAGTACAAACTGTATTGTAGGAAAAGAATTAGTTTCATTTCTCCATTAAATGCAAAAAACATCACTGAGGACTCAAAAATAGCGATACCTGTAGGCACATACAGTCCTCGTGATGCAAAACGTAATTTACATCATAGACATCCAGCCGGCATTCTTTCCATACTTTTCATTCAACAGCATTTGTAACTCTTCACTTTAGTATTAAACACAATGGCTTGGCCACTAACTGTATTTAGTCCTACACAAAGCTATTCTGAATAGACATCCACGCAGATCCAAAGTCTCATATTGTTTATCAAAATGAAAAAAAAGAGTTATTCTGGAAAATTGCATTCGGTTATGGCATTCTGGTCCAAGAGGAAAGTGGCTAGTGCTGCATCCTTCCCCCTTCTAGTCAAAACTTGTCCATTGAGTTCTTGTGCAGGAATTGAAGGAGGATCTACAGCTTTAAAGTCCATTTAAGATGAACGAAGCCTTGGGTGTACAAATAACTCTGTCCACAAAACACCACCGAGGGATCACTCCTCATGGTTGAATTAGTTTTTTCCTCTTCGTTAAAGACACAAAGGTGCAAGACTGTTTTCTTGATGCTAAAAAAAAAATAAAAATCAAGCATCAAGCATTGACACGTCAACGTGTAAATGCCACACAAATCTGAGTCTTAAAAAAAGTCTCTTTAAAAATCCAATTTATTATTAATATGGAAAAGTGCTAGGTGAGACAATTCTCTTTATCAGTCACTATGACCGGGGCAAGCAATCGAATTGTTCTTTTGAGCGCAGGCAGCTTTGCAACTCAAACCTCATCCTTTACGAAAGCAATGTCCGGGTCTGAGAAACGTCGTGAGGAGGTCTGGAGCTCCTGTGCGCTGGAGGTGTCTGAGGCTGTAGGTGAGGACGGGAAGAGGAGATCTGTTCCAGCGGCGATGTAGAGAGACTGGATGCTGTCTTTGCGGCGGCCGGGTTGCTCGCGCCGCTGGACGAGGGTGAGGGACTGGGCTTTGCGGGGAGGGAGGGACTGTACAGCCGGGTGGCACAGGACTCCTAGGGGCAACTTGACCGTTTTGGGGATGATAGGGCAGCGACGCTGGAGCTGAAGCCTGGGAGAAGACAGTGAAGGAAGAGAGCAGCCGTCAGCCCATGTGCTGCCTCCTTGGGCCAGGGCGACAGACTTAGGAAGGCAAGCTGGTTTGGATAATCTTGGCACTACGACTGTTTGTCCTACAATAGGGAAACAGAACCAATCAACCCCCAAAGCAGAAGAAAGCCCAAAGCAGAACCCAAGACATGCCACCAACAGTCGTAAAAGAAAGGCAACATGCAGTGTCTTATTCCATCACCGCTAACATGCACATAAACACTTGGGTTAGATGAGATCACAACCTGCTACAGAGCGGATGGCACCGCCACCCTCTTTAAATGCGCCAGGAGCATCCCATCCAGACCTGCACCACACACAACAAGGACAGGACCCACACATGGGTGACTACTGCAGAGGAAAAACAAAGGACTGGTCCAAAACAAAGGGAGTCCGTACCTTAATACTGACCTTCCGTGTCTGAACAGACCGCTCGCTCGTCCAAAAGGCTCTCAGAGCTGACAGATGCCTCCGAGTCCAGGTTCTCCTGGTCAGAACCGGGCTGTTCTAGTTCAGGTAGCCTGCAGGCAAGGTCCTCTCTGGAACATAAACCAGAAAAAGGCGTTCAAGAGTCATGCAAGACTACTTGTGAGATTTCTTCTACATTTACATACTTTTCTTGCTTGATGGACTCGATCCGCTCCATCAGGCTTCGCTCAGCTTCTGTATCTGAATCCAGGGGCTCATTCTCAGGTACAGCACAAAGGTCGGAAGCTGGCTTCTCCCGAACCTAGAGTCCAAACAGATACAAACTTCAACTCAAGAGGAGATCGACAGATCCAAGCTTTTTCCCGTGTTGCCACAAAAAAGGAAGCACAGAAAGACAGGAGGTTCTTCAGTGAAGGGACTACAGTACTAAACATTTTCATTGGACTCAAGTCTGCCCCCATGTGGTTAGTCTATGAAGTAAAAAGGGGGAAGTTATAATTCTTCAAGTGTGGCACAACGATCCCTTGTGGAGTGAAACTGAGGAGTGCTAGAGATGTTTCAAAGATGAGTCAAGTCTGGAGGAAGAGAAAAGGTCTACTGGGAAAGAATTTCAACCACTTGGATGGATGTTATATTTCATTGCGGAACTAAACACAATTAAAGTCTGTAAGTTGCCATGGCATGAGTTTCAAAGGTTTGTAGAAATCAAATACAAAGGTTAACAGTCAAACCTGACTGCTTATCTTTCTGCATTATAGTCTGTATTCATATAAACAAAAAAACATCATCACAGAATGCCCCTATTGTTTAATATTCAGCAATTTACTTTGCGTAGCTTTGAAATTCATGCCATTCACTGCAATGACCACCCAAAACCAGCACACATCTACACCGACATCCACCCGACACCCTTGTCTACAGGTCTAAATGTCTACAGATCTAAAATAACACATGCAGTGGTTTGAGTTAGTATTAGTAAGGCATGACTTGTACACTGCATGCATGAACATGCCAAACTACTGGGGTTCACAATACCACAGGGATATACGTACCGCCACTTCTTTGTAAGGAGTGATAAATCTGAGAGGTAAATGCCAGCACTACAGAGACATAAAAACGAGAAGCAAAAAAAGTGTAGCGAAAATTACTCTCTGTAGGTGCCTTGTAGAAAGTTGCGGACTGTTGATTGTTCATTGGGCAAAATATGGACATTTGCATCTGGAAACAAACCACTTTCAAATAATGATACAGCAATGCTAGAAGACTTTCTGCTAAAGGACAGGTAGGTTGAGTGTACCGTGTTTTGTCTTTTTAGCTTGAGTTGATTGACAGCCAGTGCCTCAGCGTATTCCAGCTGCTCGATCTCCTCCATTCTCTCATTGTATCTCCGGATTTGTTCGTTAAGTAGCATCTCCACACAACTGAGCAAAGTAAAGTTTCAGTCTTGAGACTTCATTCACTTTAAAACAACACACTGTTCTTAACAACACTCTCTAACTTGCAGTGTGGATATGAAGCCCTTACATGGTGGTTTTGGCGATGTCTTTCATGCTCATGAGCGGGTCGGCGCTATCCGGACAACGGAGAATGCAGGGGGCAAAAACAATGGCCAGAGAGTTTGGTGTCATCCGATTGCTCTTCTCCTCCTTTGCAACCCTGAAATGATACCAGATCGTTACCTTGACGGCTACATGGTTTTGCACTAACAGCATTTGTTACGGACTGCATGTACTCATCTGTACCTGACAAGATGGAAAACAAGTCTCTCCAAGGTGTTGAAGTTGGCCGCTGGAAGCTGTTCCAAAACTTTGTAAATGGCTTGCAATTGCTCTTGCTTCTCAGGCAGTTCTATGAAAGACAACAAAAGAGTTATAGCATGTCTAAGGGCTACCAAAAGGACAGCAGAAGGGTGTTGTGGGGACCAACCTATTGCACGGAGGAAGTCGTTGTAGTGCGTGAAGGTCATGAGAGGTTCAGGCAACTCCCTTAGCCACTGTTTGACCAGGCCAGTGACAGCATGGATGGGGTAATCCTCAAGACAAACATTCTCTGGGCCTAAACAAACATGCAGTCATTAAACAGGGTTATTTAACAGAGGGTATTTATCAGAGTGGGCAGGATAAGCTACAAAAAAAGTCCAAAATATGACTCTGTGAGACTACAAAGAGGTCGTCTTCCCAATGTGCCATTGAGTTCTGGTAATATCCATGATAGCTCACCTGCTTCCAACAGCTGGTGTAGCTCCTTCATGCGATTGGCTGAGCCGGACTTCCTGTAAATGCCCTCGGTGTACAGGCCATTCATTTCCACGTGTTCCAGCATTATCTCCAGAACAATTGGCACAGGGGTCTTGTTGTTGACCAGGTGGCACACACGAACACCAAAGTGTTGTGATCCTGGCTCATCATCACACTAGACCCACAGCACACAAAGGTCGACCAATTGAACAAGATTTCGAAATGACTGCTTCTCCAAAATGCTTAGAAGATTGGATTCTTACCTTCTTAGAGCAGAAAGTAGAGCAGTCTATGACGATTTTACAAATGCACTTCTTATGGCAAACCATTTTGCAATCTGAAACAGAAATGACTCATCATACAATGTTCTCAGCCTGAATGAAGGCAAATCCATAGGGCACGTATCAGAGATACTCACAACTGCACATGTAGGCCTTCTCCATTCCCCAGATGTAGGAGGTGCACTGATCACAAGACTGCATGATGTTGACTTGGTAGTGCGTAAACACATGGTCCAATGGATTCTCCAACTAAATTCAGACAAAATGCTTAGATTTCTTCACAATTCACAAAGCAGAGTCAATATGAAAGGATACTTACGCCCTTATCCTTCTTCCTTCTCATCTTACGACCTTTGGGGGGCTGAGACAGAGTTTATCCAAGGTAAGTCAAAAGGATAACAAGCATTCAAATGATAAATAACAACTACCACTTAAATCAGATAATGAAAGTCTAGAGGGTAACAGGCCATGCATGAACTTTCACCTTGGCTGGTTCGGCCTCTTCTTTTTTGATCTCCGCTCTAATGAAGCCATCCAGAACTGACTGGAAGAGATTGACCACCAGTGGTACCTCACCTTTCTGCTTTTCTCCAGCTAGACTGATCACTTTATTGTGGTAGCTCTTCATCAAAGCCTTATACCCAATTTGTGGCTTCTGTTGGTGAAGAAGAAGAAATTAATAACATGAACTACAAGTTTCTTTTAATGCCCATAATACATCTTGACCTAGCAAACCAACAAATTCATGTTATGGCATCACAGATAGGACATGGCATAGTTGGTCTATACTGTAGTGTTTGGGTTGTAGTTTTAGGGAGTGTTGTATTAGCTCTACTTACAGAGAATGAGTACATCCCCTTGATGTTTTCTCTGAACTGCATAGTGGCAGTAATGAAGATGTGTTCTGTTCCTGAAAGCTGCTTTCCCCTTGAGCGCAGATCATTCACCTACACCACACAAGAGAAAGAATAAGTCTGAGAGAATGCAAAGCTTGTCAGAAATAGTATACATTATAAACACGACTTAACACTCTTCAATCACTCATCAATTGATTGCACAACTATGCATAACCACACAATCAACTCAAAAAAGTTAAACATCTTGCAGTCCTATCTATTCTTTAGACCTGATTGCCCAGGAATTCGTCAAGGTGGCGTAGCTCATTCGCATTGGTGATCACACGGTTCAGCGAGGAGTTGCACTGCTCAGAGGCCCAAGTTGTTGAGTGACTGATCATGATGCTGGCCGTCCGAGCGGGTCGACTCGCATGAGGCTTTGAATTGTGCGAGCGTGATGGAGAAGTTGCTATCAAAAAACACAAAAAAACAATAAATGGAGGAAAAGTATGACGATCTAAAAGAATCGGATGCTGTCTTTGCAGAATGTACCTTCTTTTTGATCCAAAAAGGAAGCTAGGCTCAGATCTCCATCTTCCGGGGTCTGAGCTTCTTTATGGGGACGCTTCTTCAGAATCTTTCTGAAAAACCCTGTTGTCCTGTTGAACAAAAATGCACCATTGCATAAAGTTAGTTGTAGCAAGTTTTGCATTTTATTATTAATAATATCCTAACAGCATGCTGGGAGGTCCCTTTAGGCAAAGGATTTCACCATCAAAACATTGAGATCGCACACCTCCACACAGATTACGGAATTTCAGGATTCTCCCTTTTCTCATTGCAGATGCTTTGCATCTATATAAGGGAGTCTGTAACCTATGCCAGGAGTCAGACGTATGAGTCGGCACTGCTGAGGTAAGCCAGGGGCCGTATTTTCCCACGAGTACCAGTGAGTCAGATTTCCTGTGTGACCACATTCTAATACAGATAAGACATTTATCTGCATCTGCATCATTTTTTGCATGAGTAAAAAAGCTCTTTACTTTTGAGAAAGACTTGCAGATAAAGCAAAGGCATGAAACAAATATGTGAAAGTAAATTTGTAGCCATGCTCAATTTCACATATTGTTGCATTGAGAAATGGGCAAGTCATAAGACAATGCATTTAACATGACATTCTCAAGGGATGCTGTAGAGGATCTTAGAATAAACTGCTCTCTTCTACAATCTGTTCTGTCTTGGCTAAGCAACGGTTTGACAACACCAGAAGGTAGCTAAACTGGTAATACTGGTAGGTGGGACTGTACCTCTCTGGGGTCGACGGCTGGACAGGTGATACATCTTGCAGGCTGTGGCTGTCATGAACTTTTTCCTTCAGTGTGCTGACCTTCGCTCTTTCAGGACCAACCTCAGTGCTGGACTGTGTCTACACAAAAATGTATGAGCACAGCAAATGTCTTAGTTTTATGCAGCACAGTATAGTGTACAGAAACATAACCGTTTCTGCTGATTAGATAATGGCATAATGAGTAGCCTGCCACACTGTCAAGGAGAAAATTCCTTCTTCCTGTGTAGATAACACCTTAAAGGAAGCTGAAGTGGGTAAATGCTTCACTTTATTTATCCCAAACTGAGTAATTAAAAAGTATGACGATTAATTACTTGGAAAAAGAGTCAAGAATGGTTGGAAAGAAATAAACCAGAGTCTGAAATTGTCTAACATTGCATTTTGAGATTTCAGTTTGTTATCCCGCAAGTCCAGTTTTAAAGGCCATTGAGCTTTCAGAATTCACAGTGAAGGAAGTTTTAGCCTATCAGATCAAGTTCTACTGTACTGTGTTGGCATGACAATAGGTCAGTACAGCACAGTATTTGAAATTTTGCAAAAGTGTCTGAAAACTGTGCATACTGGATAACAAACAGACTAAAGGCCTTCACTCTGCACCAGTATAATTTATTTTTCCTTAGCACAAGTTAATCCACCAGGATTCCAAGCGGTTAATCCACCAACAGCCCCCACACCACAGATCCCAGGACAGCATCTAATTTCAGGCTGTAATATACCACCTCTAATGGACTCGTGGTGGGCAAAGGATAAGTCCAGTACTCTGCATCCTCCATTTCAACACTTTTAATGGGCAAACATATACGTGCAAGGGCGAGCCGTGGCCTGCGTCTTTGACGAGCTTTGCCCTGAATCAGCCAGAGAACCATGATCACTTAAACTCAAGCGATTGTTTAAATTATAATCCTAATTTACCAAATGTAATGAGAACAGCAGATTATCTGGTTGCATACAAATGGGAAGCTTACAGTGGAACTTAAAGGGGTCATATGATGCGCTTTCATGTTTTCCTTTGTCTTTGTAGTGTTAAAGGGTTAGTTCACCGCAAAATGAAAATTATGCTGCGTTTTGTGCCCAAATGTATACGCAGACAAAGAAGGCGTAACTTTTATTCTCGCTGTAGTATTTGTTTTGCCGCCGCCACCAGACGCTGTTTCGTTGCGAAAGCCAAACTTAGAGCTGCACGATAAATCGAAATGGAATCGAGATTGCGATTCGACAGAAGCTGCGATTGTCATGCGTATCTTTCAGTGAAGCACGGTTCTGTGATCAGCAGTAAATCTCC